TTCGCACATAATTTGGTGCCGTGACCAGGATACAATGGAGGAACTAACTCGCCTCATAACTTCAAGACGAGCACACAAGGCTCACCTAACAAAGATTAAGACGAAAATTGACCAGATTGTTACTAAGGACAGTGTGGTGTCAGGACAAGAGATCACTTTGATCAAAWCTTATATCRATCAACTAAGAAGTAAACAGGAGACCATWAAYACTCTAAACGACCAAATCGCAAAYCTTATCGACAGCCCAGAAGATCTCGAGAAGGAAATCATAGACGCAGAAGACTTAAACGACTCTATTGTAGAGAAAATGTGCCTYACCGAGGGATTCATCGCTGARCTTGACCTCAAGGCAAAGGAAACACACCCCCAGGGAGACTCGCCGCCATCAACGATACAACATACTGGAAACGTCCACGATCAAGCCAGTACGTCTAAGGAACMKGAACAACACGTAAATCAAGCAATTGATGRACCGATACCAACACAAGGTAACAWCGTAACACAAGGTAACAATGTCAACATTCCAGCYTCACAACCGGAAAATGTATTGCCCAAACCGGTAAGTACAACTACACACGTATTTTCAAGCAGTCGACTGCCAAAGTTAGTTTTACCAACGTTTAATGGAAACCCGCTCGAATGGGCTAGCTTTTGGGACTCTTACCGGTCGGCAGTACATGACAATGCATCTCTAAGTGAAGTACAAAAGTTCAATTATCTTAAGGCCCAATTATCAAACGGCGCCGAAAAGGTCATCGCTGGCTTTCCATTAACTAACGCTAACTATGCCAAAAGTGTAGAGTTATTAAAAGAAAGATTTGGTCAAGCACATAAGATCATTAATGCTCACATGGAGGCACTTTTAAACCTACCAKCGCCAACAAATCGGCTATCAAGYCTAAGATCYYTTTATGACAACATTGAAACACACGTGCGTGGTTTAGATGCGCTGGGAAAATCATCGAGTACATACGGTGATATTCTCGTTCCTATAATYCAGAGGAAACTTCCCAACGAAGTAAAGAAAAACCTTGCCCGACAAAACGCTAATAAGGAATGGCAAATTGACGAATTACGAAAGGCTTTATTGAATGAAGTTGAAATACTAGAAGCGGGACAATACAACCCCCAAGAGTRTGAATCTGTCGGCAAAATGCCAGTCAACGCAACTGCAGCATTTTTCACAAATTCTAATGTAAAGTCGTCTAACACGCCAGCTAACCGCTCAACATACAAACGAGAATGCATATTCTGTAAGGGTCAACATTATCCAACCGATTGCACTGTAATAACTGATAAGGAAARGAGACGCTCGTTTGTACGTGACGCTAARGCCTGTTTTAATTGTCTTAACAATCACCAAGTGTCGCAATGCAAATCACGTAACCGCTGTAAGTTATGCAGTCGCAAACACCATACCAGTCTTTGCCAGGGTAATGAATCGAATTCTCAAGATCCTAAGAAATCTRTACCAAATRCCAACAACATTACRAGTTCACTATTAYTAGAGAACACTGACGYGTCATCTGTTTCGTCATTACATTCTGGCGCCAAACGYACCCGTATTCTTCTGAAAACCGCYGTAGCGTATGTTAAGGTCCGGAACAGCGACGTCTCTGCAAACATTCTGTTTGACGAAGGTTCCCAACGATCCTTTATAACCACATCATTTGMAAACCAATTAAGTCTTAAGATAGAAGCGCAAGAAAGCATCTCTCTATCTACCTTTGGTGGGAACACGACCCCTGRTGAGAATCATGATACAACCACAGTGCATCTTAAAACAACACAAGGGGGGACAATCCCTATACACACCATTATTAGTCCTATCATTGCCGCACCCATCAATACCTACAACAACGACAAAACCCTACGGAATCTTCCTCATCTTAAGGGACTGACGTTAGCTCACCCTAMCGTTGATGCTTCTAATTCATTTGTAGTTGATATTCTTGTAGGAGCAGATCACTACTGGGACATAGTAGAAGAAGAAATAATCAAAGGTCCAGGACCTACCGCATCMAAATCAAAAATCGGTTATCTACTATCTGGTCCATTGCCAAACAACAACAACAACAACAGCGACAACAACGCCGCCGACATATCAGCATTACATGTTTCAGACCAACATGACCAACAGTTCAACTTGGAACGTTTAGACCAACATGACCAACAGTTCAACTTGGAACGTTTCTGGAACTTGGACGCAATAGGAGTTCAACCCGAAGACAACGAGACATCTGACTTCCTGCAGTACTATCAGGACTCATCGATCAYKCTAGAYAATGGYCAGTACTCTGCGAAGTTACCATGGCGTCCTAATCATCCCCYGCTCCCTTCCAACGAGGAGGTGACTCGACATAGAACGCGCGCCATGATTAGACGACTATCAGAAGACCCATCCAAACTACGTATGTACAACGACATCATCGTCGATCAAGAAAAWCGGGGATTCATCGAGAAAGTAGAAGACCCCACCCAGTTTAGCGGTCCATGTCAYTACATACCTCACCACGCGGTACATAAGGATTCTGCAACCACACCCATCCGCATYGTCTACGATTGTAGCTTTAAATACAACCCTCATCCAAGCTTGAACGACTGTCTACAACCAGGTCCTCCACTACTRAAGGACATGACGGGCATCCTACTGCGATTCCGCCTTCATCAATACGGCATGTCAACTGACATCGAAAAGGCATTTTTACATGTGAACCTCGACAAAGACGACCGAGACGCGACACGCTTCTATTGGTTAGATAACCCAGATGAYCCAGAGAGTGAACTGATCGTCTACCGTTTTAAGTCTGTTATGTTTGGAGCTACCARTTCTCCTTTCATACTTAACGCTACACTACACAAGCATCTGTCACAATWTGATGATCAATTCAGCTATGATATGCAAAGAAACCTCTATGTTGACGACTTGGTGACCGGGACAGATGATRAAGACWYCGCATCAGCCTACTACCAATACGCACGKGACAAGATGTCATCCGTCGGATTCAACCTTAGATCRTGGAGCTCAAATTSCCAAAGGGTCCAAACCCTTGCTGATCGTGACAACGTCTACGACCCTACAACATCCAAGAAGATACTCGGAATGATTTGGGATATCAACGCTGACAAACTACGTTTCCCAAACAAACAGTCATCGGTTCGTCAACTCGCCACGAAGCGCGAAGTCCTACAGGAGACAGCAAAAATCTTCGATCCGCTTGGCTTTCTCCAACCCGTCACCGTGAGTGCAAAAATCCTTCTCCAATCTATCTGGCAAGAAAAACTACAATGGGACGAGCCTCTCCCACCACCTCTTCAAGACAAATGGTGCAGCATTGCCACAGAAATCAACGCTGCTACCGATTTCAGTCTTCCTCGCCGTTACTTCACTTCACTCGTTGACCACAATAACCAAGATACACAATT